CACAGAGTGGCAGGAGAGAGAGGGAGTGCAGGAGAAACTGTCATTTTTTAAGCCATTGGATATCATGAGAACTCCCTTGCTATCACAAGAACAGCATGGGGGAACCCTCCCCCATGATCCTATCACCTCCCACCAGATCTCTCCCTTGACACATGGGGATCAGAATTCAAGATGAGATTTGGGTGGGGACACAGAGCCAAACCATAACACCTGGCTAGCAGAAACACGAACAAGGAAGTCATAAACGAATACAGAGAAATAAATGTATAAAAATAAAATCATAATTAAAGAATACAAATATTTTTTAATGAGGTGTTTTTTACTTATCAAACTGGCTAAGGTTTATTTTATTTACATATATTTATGTACTTGTCTAGTTTATTATAAACAGTCAAAGTTGGCAAGAGACAAGAGATAAATAAGTAAAAAGACAAAAAACAGGTACTGTTATGCACTCCTGTGGGGAGTTTATATTTTACATTTACATTTGTAAAACCTTTCTAGAGGTCAATATCTGTTATAACCTCTTAAATGTTCATAATCTTTGTTATTCTAATTTTAGTTACAGAAATTTATCTTAAGGAAAATTTGGAGTACAATGTTATATATAAGAGTATTTATCAATGTGGCACATACACACTGTGGAATATGATGCAGACATAAAAAAGAATGAGTTCATGTACTTTGCAGGGACATGGATGAAGCTGGAAGCCATCATTCTCAGCAAACTAATATAGGAACAGAAAACTGAACACCACATGTTCTCACTCATAAGTGGGAGTTGAACAATGAGAACACATGGACACAGGGAGGAGAACAACACACACTGGGGCCCGTCAGGGGATGGGGGGCAAGGGGAAGGAGAGCATTAGGACAAATACCTAATGCATGTGGAGCTTAAAACCTAGATGATGGGTTGATAGGTGCAGCAAACCACCATGGCACATGTATACCTATGTAACAAACCTGCACATTCAGCACATGTATCCCAGAACTTAAAGTAAAATAATAAATAAATAAGAGTATTTACCACAGTTCAAGTTATAGATCAGGATTTTTTTAAACCTGAATATTTAAATATTTAGTTTAGCATGACATACAGTGTCTTAGTCTGTTCAGGCCTCTATAACAAAATACCTTAGACTGGATAATTTATAAACAAAAGAAATATGTTGCTCTGGAGGTTGAGAAGTCCAAGATCAAGGTGCTGGAAGATTTGGTGCTGGGCAAGGGCCCATTCCTCATAGATGTCGCCTTCTACGTGTTCTCACATGGCAGAAGGGCAAAGAGGCTTCCTCTTTCAGAAAGGCACAATTCCATTCCTGAGGGTGGAATCCTCATGACCTAATCATCTTACAAAGACCTCACCTCTTAATACCATCACCTCAGAAGTTAGGCTACAACATATGAATTTTGGGGAGAATACAAACATTCAGACAATAGCATATACATAGAATAGAATCATTGTGGAGCTCTTATAAATCATGTTTTGGTATAAATGTAATAATAGAATGAGTTCATGAAATAATATAAGTGAAAAAATAAGATATGTAACTATGGGTACAGTATGATTACACTATTTTATGTAATGTATACAATGTATAATATATGAAATATATATGTACACATAAATACATGTACATAAAATATTTCCTGGTATGTACATGTGTATATATATTTTTATGTATATAATTTATACACATTAGCAAAAAATGAGAAAATATGACAAATATTTAACAGTAGCTATTTCTCCAGCAGCAGGATTACAGATAATTTTTATTTTCATACATTTCTGTCTGACTTTTCCAAATGTGCTATTATGAGCACAAATTTTATAATTAAATACAAGTCAATAAGCATTTTAATGTGCCTATAACAGCCCATCAGCAAGTGAAGAGATGAGATAAAAATGTGTCTGCACTTGGTACACATATTGATTTTCTTTTACTTCCATTTCCAGATCATATTGACAAAGATATTGAAAAAATTTGATTGATATGCCTCAGCTCAGACTTGCTATGCAAGAGCAAAGTCTTATTGTTTTAAAGGAATTATTTGCTGATCAGCTATAGGGTGACTTGACCTCATATTCCTACCATGATAGTCCCACAGTGTAGGGATGGGGTGGTATGACTCCCAAGACTTGGAGTATGTTATTTTCTCAGGGCAATGAAGATTTGGACAAATGATAGCAAAGACAGAATTATTATCTCATCAAAGACATCCCTCAGCAGTATCTGTGGGCTGTGCAGTGTTCTCAGTTCGATAAAGGATTAGGACACAATGCTTCTTTGGAGAACTGTGACTTGATACTGCATCAATATCTTTCTGAGAAATGTTTTTCATTTTCTTGCCTCTTTAACTTCTTAAGCCTTAGGAGAATTAGTTGAAAAGCCAAGTCTTTGGGGTAGATACTAACATTAAGTCTTCTACTCTGTCATTTGCAATCATAAATTCCAGAACACAGCTCCTAATTCCATTGTGTATTGTTTTCTAAGGGAATGATAGACAGATTCTTTATTTTTTAAACCCCTAAGCCTACCACACTTGCTGAGTTCCTCACTAGTCACTAAGAAAGTCCTGTCAATCAACGCATGGGTTTATGTCCATTGCTCAGCCCTTCTCCAATCAGACTCATTCCCCCAGCATCCCTGACACACCACTCTAAAATGCGGCTGCTGATGGTTCACCTTCCTCACTTTTGTCTACAAATCTCAATCCTGCTGATTCCACAAATCCTACATCAAGCAATATCATTTTATGAGCCTTTCCACAACCACCCCTTCAGGGGATTCTTCAATTTCCGTCACACAGAAAGTCTTCAGAGTATCACCCTCAGAGCCAGGCAAGAGGGACTCCTGGCTAGGGTTTCATGCTTTAGAGAATCCAGTTCTGACTCCTTTTGGCCATAGGACTAATGTGATATGCCCACCTGGAGCCTGTGCCCTCCCTTCTAGGCCATGCCCTGGGACTCAGAATCCCTTACCCTAGATGGCCACACAATCATTTTCAGATCCATCCTCTCTGGGCAGACATCACAAATGTGTGCACCCCAAGGCCTAAGGCCAAGAAGGCAGCTTTCTGGATGTAGGGGCTGAGGTGTTCACACACATTTGCATGGCCCCTCAATTCAAAGAACAAGGGGAGAAAGTAAGAAGAAAAGAAGTAGCTGGTGATCAGGACCAGCTCTCGCAACTCGGCCATGTTGGGTCTTCCTGATTACACCACTTAGCTCAAGTGCAAAGCTCAAGACACTTAGCACACTCTCCAGCTGAATTTACCAGTGTTCATGGACTACCTGGGTTAGAAATATATTTCACTATAAAGTAACATACAAATGAGCAGAAAGGGAGTTAATAACATTAATAATAGAGTTAGTTTACATTATGAACTGAGTTTTGAGAAACATAATTTCTTTCAACACTAATAACAACCTTGTGAGGGTTCATTGTCTCCCTTTAAAAATTAGGAAACCAAGGCTTTGCCATGGTCTCATAGGAGGGTCAGAATAGCATTTTTGTGACCCCAGAGCATACTCCTCTCCACTCCACCTACCCATGTGTCCAACTCAGACGCCTTCTGGGATGTCCATGTCAACTATTATTTAAAGAGTAACCAACAGATGGATAGTTTTCTGTTTGTGAATCAATGGTAGGTGACTGAAAAATTGGTTCTGAGAGGTTGCTTTGCAAGGATTGATGGTCACAGGCTGAGAAGCAGATTTGAAAGACCTACCTGCTAGCAGCATGAAGAGCTGCTCTTCCTTATCTTGGCATTAACTAGTTAATTATTGGAGGTGGGTGCAGGGATGGATTATGTGTATTCTTAATTGTTGGAGAGTGGGTACTGGAGTTACAAAGACCTTTGTGATTTTCGACCTTGCAGAGCTGAGCAATTTCCAGTTGCTTTACTTGCTGATAACACTGCTTCCCTTATCTACCATGGAACACATCTTAATGAAGAATTTGCATTCACAGCATCCGGTTAATGAATATGAAACTAAACAGTGTATATCCCTCTGATGGATGGGATTTCGGAGGCACAGACATTATACACATATTTGATGATAAAGTACTAGAAGTGCAGGGAATTGAGGTCAAGCTTCCTCCTAAGGGGACTGAATCCCAGAGAGAGCAGGTGACTTAGTAATGAGAAGGGGAGCTGTCTGTTCAACCAGGATGCTCCTCCTATGGCACAAAATTCAGTGTTAAAAATATATTAAATTCAAATCAAATGTGTTAAGTGTGAGTTCTATCCCTACAGGTGTGAGGCAGAGGTGGAGGACTTTGTATACAATAGAGAAATAAATATAAATATTAGGTCTTCCATGACATAGGATTCACTGACCCTCTCATGGGCATTCCTCTGAAGCATTTTGAGATTTATTGCTATAGAAGAGCCTCCCAAACATAATCTCACTTAGAAAAGGTAATCATACTAATATGATTTTGTTCACAGGAGAGAATCTAAGTGCACACCACTGCTTAAAGTTATTTCTTTGTTCCTAGGTTTAAGGGGAACTAGTAAATAAGAACATTCCACTTTGTCTGCATCAATAAAGATGAAAGAAGATGACTTAGGAGGTAGGAATTGGAGTGGGAAACATTTTTCTATGTTCCCAATATTCTGAAACACATATGACTTCATTCAATCATAAGGTAAACAGAGTATGTAATTTACCAGAAAAAAGTAATGAGACTGGTGGTGCTAGGTTTTCATACTCCAGCTATTAATGAATTAAAGAGAGTAACACTCCTGAAAAGATACCATTTTCTCAAGAAAGCTGGAAAAGAATGTGTGGCATTTAAAACATACCAAACTCTGTGGCCATAATGCTCTTAAAATTCATCTGTCTAAAGAAATTAGAAGTGAATCATATTAAATAAGGTTTAGATATATCCACTTTATCTTCCTGAAAATATAATTTCATTACAATCGAATTTATCAAATTTTATCTGATTTGACTTGCTATTTAAAATACTTTCTAATTTACTTGCATATTTGGAATTACAATGTTCTTAATATACTTCTTGATTTTAACAAAACCTAGGACAAATGTTAATCAAACCAAACTGTTCAAAGTTACTTTATAACACATTCCTATGAACACACCATACACACAGCAATATCTAGCAAGGGTGTCAATTTTTCTTTATTTTTAAAATCAGATCATTGAAAGAAGTTATTTACTACAAATGACTCTACACACACACGCACACACACACGCAAACCTTTTTAAAGAAACGCTAGAACCCAACCCCCTTTAGGCCAGAGGAAAACGTTACAGCTGTACACGCACTTGTGCCTGTTGCCGTAGAGTAATACGGTAGCAGCAGGAGATTACGGTACTAGCTGGGCTACTGCCTGTGTTACGTCAGCGAGAGCTGCAAAGTTCCTTGCTATTCTTTTCTGGTGTCGGGGAGCTGAATATTAAAAGGGTGATTGTGGAGTTATCGGTTATCTGTATTTTTTTTTTTCTTTTCCTATTTTGACTCTTTTAAAAAATGCAGGTAAAGTGACAGCGGGCCAGGAGCTTAAAGACATCGCTGGTGGAGGGGTGAGTCAGCGGGTGCAAAAGGACAAGGATTTGGTTCCTCGGAGAGACGGTCCCCTCTCCGCCTCCAGAGAAGAGCAGGCAGGCAGCTCCCGGGACCCAAGCCGGGTCCGCCTCCCACGCTCGCGAGCTGGTGGCTCAGCAGCGGCGCTTCAGGTGAGTGCGCCGGGGCGGGCGTCCCGCAGGGCCGAGTGGGTGACGGCAGACATCCCCCGCAGTCTGGTGAAACCGAACCCCCACTTTTCCCAGCGCCTCCCGCTTTTTCCACCAGGTTTTATACCGGCCCCTCTACCCCACCCCTGATTCCCTTACATCTTCTGCGAAGTTGCCTTCTACTTAACAAGTGTCTTTTTAACCCTGTGTTTATCACCCTCGAGGTAGGAGGGAAAGGGTTTCTGCAGTGGCACGATTTTAATACCACCTGTGAGGTCTTAAACTTGGAATTTTAACAACAGTCTTTGCCCGAGGTCTCCTCTCAGGGCCCAACCCAAGAAGGCAAGGTGGGCACTTCCTCACGCCCCGCGGTTCTGCCGAGTCCCTGCGGTCGGTTCGCAGTTGTGGAAACCCAGGTTTCTTACGCAGATGGTGGCCCCCAGCCCAGAAAATCGAAGGCGGCCCCTGCCCGCTGGCATGCCGGCTTCATGTTTACGCCTGCAAAATCCGCAGTGACTGTCACTTGCAAAGCTGCCTCTGCAGAGGGACGTCCTCCCCACTCCGTGCCCCGGCAGTCCCGCTACGGCTGGCAGCTGGAGCCCCTCGGGTGGCCAACAGTGAGGCTTGGAGAGGCGTCGTGGACAGACCTGGGTCGCTTTCAGCCCTCGGGTCCCTCCCGGCTTCGCTCGGTACCTGGCTCTCAAGTCAGCTTGGCTGGTGGACAGACCCGCGCGCTCTGCGCACCCGAGTGCGAATTCCACCGGCGTGAGCGTGAGCGTGCGCGTGGTCCTGGCCCTGCGGTCCCTGGGTCGCAGCGGTTCCCTCTCCCAGGCCGCCCCCTCCAGGTGACTGCGAAGCAACCTGTTCTAATGGAAACCGAGTACATCCTCCAGAATTCCCCGGCTAGGATCGGTGCGACACACTCGCCAGCCGCGATCGCCCTTCCCGGGCTTCGAGGATTTTAATTTTTCGGTACCGGCGCTCGAAATCCAGCCTTCGAGCGCTGGAGCCTGGGGTTAGGGGGATTTATTTTTTTGTTTGTTTCTTTTTCGCTTCGAATCCTGAACTCGGGCAGAGGTGACTCAGTAGAGCGCGCGAGGCAGGTTCCCAGTGGTGGGGACGCGAGATGCGCTCCGCAGTCGCCTCCGCCGCAGCCGGGCGAAGCAGCTTCTGGACCGCAGAACCAGCCCGGCTCCCAGCTGGCGTCCCGCAGCCCGTCGAGCTCAGCACAGCCTCTCTCCTTGGGGCGCCTAGCTCACAGCCCGCCTTTCTCTTTGCGCTCTTTCAGGTGGACGCGGTCAAACGATGCCCGGCAGCCGCCTGCGTCTCAACACATATTTCACACCCACGTCCCCTGGCCTGTGCTCCTAGAAGCTGGAGACAGCAGAAACCTTCGGTGGGGCAGCTCAAAATGTAGGTAACTGCGGGCCAGGAGCAGCGCCCAGATGCCATCGGTCCCTGCCTTTGAGCGTCGACGGCTGATCCTTTGGTTTGTGGGGGAGACTGGCGCTGGAATTTTGAATTCCGAATCATGTGCAGAATGCTGAATCTTCCCCGAGCCAGGACGAATCACACAACGCGGAAAAGCAGACTCTCGTAATTTTGGAATTGCATGTTGCAAGGAGTCTCCTGGATCTTCACGCCCACCCTCGGGTAGGGAGGGAGTTGGGGTCCGGGCTAGGCCAGCCCAGCAGGTGGAGAGGGTCCCGGGCAGCCCCGCGCGCCCCTGGCCATGTCGCCTTTAATGCCCTGCCCCTTCGTGTGGCCTTCTGAGGGTTCCCAGGGCTGGCCAGGGTTGTTTCCCACCCGCGCGCGCGCGCTCACTCCCAGCCAAACCCAGCTGGCAGGGCTCCCTCCAGCCGAGACCTTTTGATTCCCGGCTCCCGCGCTCCCGCCTCCGCGCCAGCCCGCGGGGTGGCCCTGGAGAGCCGGACCTCGCCCGGCCCCGGCTGGGACCATGGTGTTTCTCTCCGGAAATGCTTCCGACAGCTCCAACTGCACCCAACCGCCGGCACCGGTGAACATTTCCAAGGCCATTCTGCTCGGGGTGATCTTGGGGGGCCTCATTCTTTTCGGGGTGCTGGGGAACATCCTAGTGATCCTCTCCGTAGCCTGTCACCGACACCTGCACTCAGTCACACACTACTACATCGTCAATCTGGCGGTGGCCGACCTCCTGCTCACCTCCACGGTGCTGCCCTTCTCCGCCATCTTCGAGGTCCTAGGCTACTGGGCCTTTGGCAGGGTCTTCTGCAACATCTGGGCGGCAGTGGATGTTCTGTGCTGCACCGCGTCCATCATGGGCCTCTGCATCATCTCCATCGACCGCTACATCGGCGTGAGCTACCCGCTGCGCTACCCAACCATCGTCACCCAGAGGAGGGGTCTCATGGCTCTGCTCTGCGTCTGGGCACTCTCCCTGGTCATCTCCATCGGACCCCTGTTCGGCTGGAGGCAGCCGGCCCCCGAGGACGAGACCATCTGCCAGATCAACGAGGAGCCGGGCTACGTGCTCTTCTCAGCGCTGGGCTCCTTCTACCTGCCGCTGGCCATCATCTTGGTCATGTACTGCCGCGTCTACGTGGTGGCCAAGAGGGAGAGCCGGGGCCTCAAGTCTGGCCTCAAGACCGACAAGTCGGACTCGGAGCAAGTGACGCTCCGCATCCATCGGAAAAACGCCCCGGCAGGAGGCAGCGGGGTGGCCAGCACCAAGACCAAGACGCACTTCTCGGTGAGGCTCCTCAAGTTCTCCCGGGAGAAGAAAGCGGCCAAAACGCTGGGCATCGTGGTGGGCTGCTTCGTCCTCTGCTGGCTACCTTTTTTCTTAGTGATGCCCATTGGTAAGTCTTGACCACCCCTCACTTTAGCATTTGGGGATCTTCACCCTTCTTGGCTTCTGTTACCCCAGACTCCCAGTCCTGGATGGGAGAGGACGGATTAGCATTTCAAACAGCACAGTTCTAGGGCAATTAGAAAAGGCTCCCGTGTAGAAAAGTGAATTTTCATTCTCTTTCTACTCCAGTCTCATTTATATTAGGTCCTAGAACACTTTTTCAACTGTAAAGTGGCTTCCAACTGATGCAGATTAATTGTTCTCTGTAATAAGAATGTCAACTTTTCTTAATGCCTATAAGCACGTGTTTAATTTAAATGCATCTGCTCTCTCTAGTCTCAGAGTCTCCACCAAGTGTTTAGGCTGACTGTGGAATGCCATTTTCACTCTGCTACAGAACGCAAATTCTCTTGGCCTGAGAATAAGTACCACGCTTATTCTGGACAAATGTGCGATTTTATTATTGCATTAGGTTATTCATAAGGGTTTGTTTTAATGGTCTGTTTATGTTCTATATCTGTGCTAATTTTATTTTCTGGAATCAGTATGGAAGGAATTACGGTGAGCTACTAAGAAAAAAAAAAATGATTCTATGTCCAAACCAATTTTAGCCTTAAATAATTAATCATAATGTTTCCAATAAGTAAATACTTATTTTTTTACTTTAATAGTAAGTATTAAAACAAACACTTCTCTTACCCAAAATCATCCAGAAAGTTGCAGATGACGCTGTTTGAAAATAATACAGTACACGTAATGTTACAAATCCAATTTTTGCAGATGCTAAATTAGCTGTTGTCAAAATTAATTAGCTCGTTATAAGTATCAGCAAGCTGATCCACTTGGAATAGTCATCTATCTCCTTCAGTGAGATCCCAGAATGGTTGTATGCTATTTTTAGTTTGGAAGCTCAAATATAGACCCAAACATCGATTATCCACCAACTCTAAAAAACAAAACATCATGGTTAACATTAGTAAAAGTCCACTTCAAGTGCTTTACAGCCTAATTTAAATGGCATGTGCTTAAAGTGCTTTAATTTGCAACTCTGTGCAATAATAGCAACTATTATTTTTTTGTGCCATTTATGTTCCAGACATTTTCCCAAGTTTTTATTTCATTAGTCCTCTCGACAACTCGGTGAGTTATACACAATTATCCGGCAATCACAAGTCATGGGAAGGGATTCTTCAGGTCCTAATACCATAGCCACAAGCCATGGATAGCTATTTAAATGTTAATTGAAATTAAATTAAATTAATATTCAGTTCCTCAATTTCTCAGTCCCACTGACCACATCTTAAGTGCCCAATAGTCACACGTGGCCAGCGACTACTGTTTTAGACAGCAGAGATATAGGTCATTTCTATCATTGCAGAAATGTCTGTCCTGTAGGGCTGCCAGAGAGGCCCTCTTTAGTCCAACACCTGGCCTTCCATTGTGCCTGCCCATCATTATTACTTACTGTGCTTCTGGAAGTACATCACAGCTTTGAAATTATAGAAATTACACTCTTTACCTGAGTCCCTTTGCACATTTATTCATGCATCTGCTCGCTCAACAAGTATTTATGGACCATCTGTTCTAGGCACTTTGGATGAACAGGGCAGAAAAGTCCTTGCCAATGAGATGTTTGCATTTGGAAAGGATAGACTTAAGCAAATGAATGAATCCCAAAAAGTCAAGATTAACATGCACTATCAAAAAATCAACAGGATGAGAGGCTAGAAAATGACAAAGACAATGAGGGTCTGCTTTAGTGGGTAGTGGGGAAAATTCTGTCTAAAGAAGTGATATTTGAGCAGAGTCCTGACTGGACTGAAGAGCAAAGCTTGCAAGATCTGGAAAGAAGAGCTTCCTAGGCAGAGGGAGCAGTGAGTACAGAGATGGGAAAGAAGATCATGGAGGCCAGTATGACTCAGCTACAGACAGGGAGGGAGCAGTCAAGTTCAAGAAGAGATTGGACAGATAGACAACACCAAAGTCACGTGGGGTCTTTTAGACCAAAGTAAAATTTCCGTATTATTCTAACTGTGGTGGGAAGTCATTCAAGGGTGTTTAGCAGGTGAGTGGCCAGTTTCATTTATATTTTTGAAGGATCATTCTGGTTGTTGGGGGGAAAATTGGCTGTTTGAGGGCAAGAGCAGAAGCAGAGACTAGTTAAAAGGCTATTAGAAGTCAAGGGGATAGAGGTCATGACATCTTGAACTCAGGTGGGACAGGTAGAGGTGGTAAGAAGTGATCACATTTACCACTTATTTTAAAGGTAAAGCTGATGAGTTTGGACAAAGGTGTGAGAAAAAGGGAGGTTTAGGGCCTGAACAGCTGAGTAAATAATAATGCCTTTTACTAAGACTAGCAAAACCAAAGAGTTACATGGTTGCAAGGGGCTGCAGGGAGTGAGAGGTAGGAGCCTTTCTTTTGTGTACACTGTGTTGAGAAACATTCATTAGACATCGAAGTAGAGATGGCAAGTAGGGAGTTAGATACTGTACATAGATGGGTTTGTTTTAATGGTCTGTTTATGTTCTATATCTGTGCTAATTTTATTTTCTGGAATCAGTATGGAAGGAATTACGGTGAGCCACTAAGAAAAAAAAAATGATTCTATGTCCAAACCAATTTTAGCCTTAAATAATTAATCATAATGTTTCCAATAAGTAAATACTTATTTTTTTACTTTAATAGTAAGTATTAAAACAAACACTTCTCTTACCCAAAATCATCCAGAAAGTTGCAGATGACGCTGTTTGAAAATAATACAGTACACGTAATGTTACAAATCCAATTTTTGCAGATGCTAAATTAGCTGTTGTCAAAATTAATTAGCTCGTTATAAGTATCAGCAAGCTGATCCACTTGGAATAGTCATCTATCTCCTTCAGTGAGATCCCAGAATGGTTGTATGCTATTTTTAGTTTGGAAGCTCAAATATAGACCCAAACATCGATTATCCACCAACTCTAAAAAAAAACCATCATGGTTAACATTAGTAAAAGTCCATTTCAAGTGCTTTACAGCCTAATTTAAATGGCATGTGCTTAAAGTACTTTAATTTGCAACTCTGTGCAATAATAGCAACTATTATTTTTTTGTGCCATTTATGTTCCAGACATTTTCCCAAGTTTTTATTTCATTAGTCCTCTCGACAACTCGGTGAGTTATACACAATTATCCGGCAATCACAAGTCATGGGAAGGGATTCTTCAGGTCCTAATACCATAGCCACAAGCCATGGATAGCTATTTAAATGTTAATTGAAATTAAATTAAATTAATATTCAGTTCCTCAATTTCTCAGTCCCACTGACCACATCTTAAGTGCCCAATAGTCACACGTGGCCAGCGACTACTGTTTTAGACAGCAGAGATATAGGTCATTTCTATCATTGCAGAAATGTCTGTCCTGTAGGGCTGCCAGAGAGGCCCTCTTTAGTCCAACACCTGGCCTTCCATTGTGCCTGCCCATCATTATTACTTACTGTGCTTCTGGAAGTACATCACAGCTTTGAAATTATAGAAATTACACTCTTTACCTGAGTCCCTTTGCACATTTATTCATGCATCTGCTCGCTCAACAAGTATTTATGGACCATCTGTTCTAGGCACTTTGGATGAACAGGGCAGAAAAGTCCTTGCCAATGAGATGTTTGCATTTGGAAAGGATAGACTTAAGCAAATGAATGAATCCCAAAAAGTCAAGATTAACATGCACTATCAAAAAATCAACAGGATGAGAGGCTAGAAAATGACAAAGACAATGAGGGTCTGCTTTAGTGGGTAGTGGGGAAAATTCTGTCTAAAGAAGTGATATTTGAGCAGAGTCCTGACTGGACTGAAGAGCAAAGCTTGCAAGATCTGGAAAGAAGAGCTTCCTAGGCAGAGGGAGCAGTGAGTACAGAGATGGGAAAGAAGATCATGGAGGCCAGTATGACTCAGCTACAGACAGGGAGGGAGCAGTCAAGTTCAAGAAGAGATTGGACAGATAGACAACACCAAAGTCACGTGGGGTCTTTTAGACCAAAGTAAAATTTCCGTATTATTCTAACTGTGGTGGGAAGTCATTCAAGGGTGTTTAGCAGGTGAGTGGCCAGTTTCATTTATATTTTTGAAGGATCATTCTGGTTGTTGGGGGGAAAATTGGCTGTTTGAGGGCAAGAGCAGAAGCAGAGACTAGTTAAAAGGCTATTAGAAGTCAAGGGGATAGAGGTCATGACATCTTGAACTCAGGTGGGACAGGTAGAGGTGGTAAGAAGTGATCACATTTACCACTTATTTTAAAGGTAAAGCTGATGAGTTTGGACAAAGGTGTGAGAAAAAGGGAGGTTTAGGGCCTGAACAGCTGAGTAAATAATAATGCCTTTTACTAAGACTAGCAAAACCAAAGAGTTACATGGTTGCAAGGGGCTGCAGGGAGTGAGAAGTAGGAGCCTTTCTTTTGTGTACACTGTGTTGAGAAACATTCATTAGACATCGAAGTAGAGATGGCAAGTAGGGAGTTAGATACTGTACATAGATTTGGAGCTTAGAGAGGAGGCGGGATACAGATATAAACTTGGGATATGTCAACATCTTTAAAGCTATAGGAATAAAGAGGTTGACAAAAGAGAAGGTAAAGAGAGAAAAGAGACAAGAACAGAGCCTCCACACCTGTAGTTCCAGCTACTCGGGAGGCTGAGGCAGGAGAATGGCTTGAACCCAGGAGGCGGAGGTTGCAGTGAGCTGAGATCATGCCACTGCATTCCAGCCTGGGCTCAGAGCGAGGCTCCATCTCAAAAAAAAAAAAAAAAAAAACCTCCAGGGAATTCTGATACTTGGGGGTCAGGTCAGAAAAAAAGAGGAGAAACAGCCAGCAAACAAGATTGCAAAGGACTAGCCAGGGAGAGGAAAAATCAGGAGAATGTGATATCCTGGAAGCCTAATGAAAATGTTTCAAGAAGGCAGGAATAATCAACTGTGTCACATGCAGCTGAGAGGTCAGGTTAGAGGAGGACTGGGAGCCAACATT